AGGTTGCTAAATCACTATTTAACTAGTAGCTAAATCTTACAGAAGCCTTGTATAATTAGGTTCAAGGTGCCTGTCCAGTTTTTAACAGCGTTGGTTTCAGAAGTATTTTTCCTGTTCATTTTTTCCCATATGGATAAAAAAAAATTTTTTTAAAGTTTAAATAAAATTACAAAACTTTTATTTGAAGTAAATAAATGTTAATATTTGAATATGAATTTGACTATTTGGGGGGGAAAAAATCAAACAAAAAGACAAATTAATGGCTTTAATAAGAGAGAGAGAACTACAATCCCCTTAAGCATTGTAAATAAAATTCATAAAAATAAAAACAATGGAGAAATATAAAGATGTTGGGAAAAATAACTAAATACAGTAGCAAGCAATATTTTTACAATAATTTCAAAAGATGGATATAGATATAACTTATTTAAGTAGTTTGACTGGCTCAATTACACCATTCGCAGTGTTTAATGGGAGTGGGCGGTTCTTTTGGCACAATCTATTGTTTTGATTCTCTGATTGGTGGAGACTCTTTTGTAGAATCATGGGTAATGTAGTTTTTCACCAGAAATTCAACTGTTAAACACAATTAAATATAAATTATGTTAAATAATGCGAGTTAAATGGCGTTAACAAATGCATATACTATTAATGAACCTTATAGCTTCAAGAAGGTCCGTGTTTAGTTTGTAAATTATTGTTAAAAATCAATTCCTCTATGGAGAAAATGAATGGGATTTTTACTTTTGACTCAGTGGTAGAGCATTGTGTTAGCAGCGCAAAAGGTAGTGGGTTCGATTCCCAAGGAACACACATACTGGTAAAAAATTTATAGCCTGAATGCACTGTAACTCGCTTTGGATAAAAGCGTCTGCTAAATGCATAAATTAAATTTTATTTAATTTTAATTTAATTTATTCCGGAACCCAACTGTGACAGCAAAGTGACAGCATGTGACAAGCTTGATGCATCGCCATGGAAATGGAATGTTGTACATACTAAACATGCTGACATTTTTAAAAATCTGTTTGAACATTCTTAACTTCTGTGTGAAAAGGTTAAAGGTCAAGTCATTCCAATCCCTATAGGGACACTAAACAGAAGTCTATTTCGTCTTCCATTGTTCAAACATACAGACGGTCACTGGTTAAGCCAGTGTTGCTATGACCCATCTAACCATCTACACAACACGAACAGATGCACACACACAAACACACAAACACAAAACAGCACATTCGGAAAGAGCACGCCACAGTTGAATAAGTGACCTTTGCAACTTCCCCCTCTCTCCACACATCGCTCCATTTATTTCCCACTCCAGTCAGAAACGCCCCAGAAAAAAACAGTCAGATTGCATCTCTAAAACAAGTACACTTAAATAACATCACATAAAAGGTTATTTCATCCAGTCAGATGCACTCTCGTTGAGAGTAACCTCTGCCGCTCTTTGGAGTGCGTGTTACTTCACCGCATTCCCCCTTTAATTTGCAACACAAGGCATGAGCGAGACACGGGGAGGGAGCTCATCCTCCGCCTCTTGTAACGCTGCCCAATCTGCGGCCTGCTAGGCAGTAGGCGGAAACTAATGACCAACATGAGTGTCTTCATGAGCTGTTTATTTTGCTGCATTCCCAAGACGCTGCAACAGCTGCCAAGCAAAAGCAGAAAAAAGAGAAGCCGTCTTCAGCTACACAACAACAGCGGCCTTTCAATCGCTGCAACGGCCAGCGCAACCTCAGCTTCACACGCCGCTCTAGATGTAGACCATAAGTCATCTGCTTCATCATCTCAATTATTCGTCATCTTCCTTTTCAAAGAGCACTGGAGAAAGAAAAAGGGTTCGTTGGTAGAGCTCCGGAAGTAAATATCCCATTCATTGCATCCATAGAGAAACTGATATTTAGCGATAATGCAAAACAATTCTGTAGAAGCCACAAGTCGATGTGATTTTTAAAAAAAATAAAAAATGTTTAATCTAATTTTAGGTGCAGAATTGCACAAGATATTAATCCAGAAAAGAGATCCACCAATCAGAGTTTTTGTTTTCACAAAAATGAAAATTGCATCAGGTGATCGGCCACAAAAAAAAATATATATATATATATATATATCATTTAGTCTCTTTAAACCCTGTAAACATACCATGTATGTGCATATTTTAAAATATCTGAATTATCTGAATATTATTTAATATGATAAATATATATGTGTGTGAAGATACAATTAAAGTGATATATATTTATATTACACATTAAAATTTTACATTTTGTTGCCATTTAAATTTATTTAAAAATATATCGATTCTAATGCTGCGTTCAAGTCCTCCTGGGACGTTCGTACTTACGAGTTGACAAGTCGTAATAACGACGTCAGGTGCGTTCAAGTCACTTTGCTCGGAACAATATGGCGATTTTACTTTTTTTCCATAAAATTCAACGATTTTTTAAACTTTACATCTACAAAATGATGAATAAAGAATGTGCGTCATTGTGGTTTTGCTTTTTTCTGTTTTTATTCAATTTATGAAGGTGATGCAAACTGAATCATTATATGTTCTTTGGTAATTATACAATAATATAATATTTTGTATATGTAACATATAGTTTTATTTTACATTACAAAAAATTAATCATTTTATTAATTTCAACAAATTTACCATCAGGCAATGCAGCCTAGGTTAGTTTACCCAAAGAACTACTTTATTAAAGATTTTTTGAAGACCTTGTGGAAAAAAGCAGACTGGAAAAATGTGGGCACTCGCTGTTGTTCTCTTTTGGGACTAGAAAGTGTTGCGAATGCTCTGCATGGCGGCCACAGCAAAGCTTGCACTGAGCGTCCTCTGGCTAGCCATGCTATTCCTGGGTGACACAGAAAAATCCTCCTAACACGCCTGCAGTGCTTTTTAAGGAATTCTGACAGGCTTGAGCCAATGGATCAAATACCACAAGCCACTTGCTGCTCCCGAGCGTCGCTCCTTCACGACTCCCAGAGCGACTTTGTGCCAGTATAATGAATGAGCCCACATCACTCTTAATCTCTGGCCGGCCGCTATCTGCCGCTGCGGTAACATGAGCGGGCTCCACATTGGTCACTACGATCTCATCCTTCCAAGTTTCTCGAATTGCACGTCTTAGATCAATATGAAGATCCAAAGGAACATTAGAAGCGAAAACGGGCTCATTTCAAACGGCTCTGGGCCTCCAGGTATCATCAGCGCAGCGGTAAAGGAGTCCAGGGAGTCTGTATGCAAACAACCATCCACAGAGACTATGATAAAGAGACGCATTTGAGCAAAAGACTAGTCGTTACATCTGTCCAGCGCTGAGATTGCAGTTAGATCGTCATTCGCCGGCATGGCCCAAACAGACAGCATGCCCTCAGACGTCCAGAAAGGGTTGAGTTGTCAATCCTGACGTGACAAGATGCATCTCCTGAGTTTTAGGATCCCTTTGAATCCCTTTGTTAAATCAGCCTCAGAGTTCAGCGCTGGAATGGGTTTGGAACAAATACTAAAAAGCAGCACACACCATGCATACAAATTTTACACATAAAACAAATTTTTCTCAGTATAATGGTCAAAATATCATCACTGCTAAATAGAGAGTTCAAAATATCAGCATCTGTAACAACCTATTGTCTATTGACTGCAGACTGACTTTAGTCACAAATGATGACACATTGAGTGAGGAACAACACTTTGTGGTAGAAATTTCTAAAATTCAATTCAAAGCTTTCAGATGGAGGTTCCAAAGCTGCCCATTCATGACACTATATTTTTTTGCACAATAAATCAAACAAATGATGACAAAATGAAATGATTTGCATGATCCCGCTACCGATAATCCAAGATAATACTCTAATAATATTGTTTTGGTCATGATAAGGCACAATTGACAAAGAAAATCAAGCAATTTTTGTAATGATAAACATTTAAATCAAACCTGGCAACCAATACAGAATGACCAATGCTAAGGATGCATATTAATGCATGTTTGGATATTAAAATGATATGGTCGCAAATACAAGCACACAAAAAACTGCTGAAATTAACACTTATTTCACACTATTTACTCAAAAACCACAAGTAAAAGTTATTAATCTGATAATATACTAATTATTTATGTAAATAATCCCAAACTGGGTAAATAAAATCCCCATAATCAACCAAAATTAGCACTTATTTACTGAAAAATCACAGAAAGATTTTGGAATTGGCACAAGTCCAAGTTTCTGATAAAATGCGAATTATTGATGCAAATAACTTCAAAATAGCCACAGAAGATCCCTAAAATCAAATTAAATTAACACTTATTTCACACACTATTTAATCAAAATCCACTAAAAATGTTGTAAATGGCACAAGCGGAAGGTATTAATCTGATCATATGCAAACCATCGATGCAAATAATCTCAAAATGTCCAAATAAGATCCTAATAAACAATATAGCTCATTTTTAACACATTCACTGATTAAAAAAGCCTCTAAAAGGCACATTCATCAATTTAAAAATCTAAAAATATCGATCAGCTCCTCTCCACACCCAAATAAGCAAACCAAGTCCAGCTAAACGAATGAAAACCACATGAAGGGCGCAACAGATTTGTCTTAAACCGCACTAGAGCTGTACAAACAAGGGTTAACATGATTCACTCGGTGGAAACCAACAAGTTGAGCCTGTTCAGCCAACAGAGTTTTGAATCACACGGTTCCTGTCAAGCCCTCTGTCACCCTCAAAGTAATTACTTTTTTCGTAAACGGGGGTGGGAAAGAGCTCTAACGACTCGTGTGTGCCTTCAGTGTGCGAGCGAAAGCATTTCTGGAAACGATATGGCATGAGTGAGTGAGTGAGTGAGTGAGTGAGAGTGTGTGTGTGTGTGTGTGTGTGTGTGTGTGTGTGTGAGAGGGGGCGGCGATCTGAAATCACTGCCACTGCTGCTGTCAAACAAGCAGGCAAGAGCGAAATATCCTCCTTCCGCCAGGAGCCGAATCTCCAACTCACTTGATAAAGCAGCGGGCTCCTTCGAACGTATATCCTTCTTCCCATCCGGTGGGTAAATCTGAAAAAGGAGACAGGAGGACAATGAGCTTTGCATGCAAAAAGCATCTTCTAGAGTGACTGGCTGCACATCTCTCATCGTGCCCGTGATCTGCAGTGCTGTTCAATGCCCACAAGCACTGCTCGCATCCCTATACTGCAGATCAACATGTATCATACAGCTTGTTTTGTCTCTTAATAGTGACAAAAAACTGCTAAGGCTTTCATAACGCAACTGTGGAGTGTTTTGAGGAATGCAAAGTTGTCTCCTGCAAGCTGTCAAACGATCCGACGAGTGCAGCAGCAATGACAGCTGTCAATCAAAAGCCAAAAACGACCATGCAACCTTTCAGAAACGTGAGCGCAGGTGTGCTGCACGCATGCAACGCAACGCGAACGCAATGACATTGCGCGCGTCGCGTTCTGCCACAGCTGCGGCTCTGCAGCTGCATTGATTGCGTTTCTCCTCATGCGGATTTTTCCCCCCCGTTAAAAGCCTCTTACCTGGAGTTTTTCTGTGCCCTGTAATGACGGCTTCTCCCGTGACTGGATGCAGCCAGGTTGTGCTCTTCGCTTCTTCACTGTTGGGTGAGAAAAAAAGGGGAGAAGAGAAGGTGAAAAAACAACCGAGGAGAGGCATTCGAGGCGAACCGAGCCCCAACTTTCCATCCCGCGGATATTTACTTGATAAAGAAGACGCGTCCGTCGCGGGTCACGCCGTAACTCCATGAGGAAGGCAGGCAAGACAGCCACTCCGGGTTAAGGTCCGCCGCCATGTCTGAGCACTGAGAGCAGCGCTCGAGCTGCGCGCCTCCGACCCACTCGCGCGTACTCGGGATTCCTTAGCAACGGTGTCCAGGGCGCAGGCGGGAGAAGCGCCTCCGGGGGGCGGGGCGTACGCGCGGACCAATGACGTGACGCGCAGACGCTATTTATTTATTTCGTATTTAAATGACATTCTTATTTGCGTTAGCCAGCTTTATTTGTGTTTTGTGCTCACAGAATATAATAAAGATTGCGTTTATTTTCAATGATAAACATTTCAAAAGTTTTTTGGGTGTTTATTTATGTAGTACCTTACGAAGATATTTTTTTATAGCTTATTCTGTAATTTCTTGTGAATATTAAATGCAACTAAAGTTAGGTTAACAATAAATTAATTAATTACTTAATTGCCTATAATATTTTTGCATGGCGATTGTTATACATTGCTATATAGCAAATACCCATACCAAATAAAAACGTTTATGTACTACCTTTATAATAATAATAATAATAATAATAATAATAATGTATGTTTTTAATCAAATACTGCATCGATCTCTAAAACGAAAATCTAAACTTGGGTGTCAAGTATGCATTTTTTTCTTTTTTTTCTTTTTATATAAATTATATATAACACAATATAAATTGATCCAAAGTGCTGTACAATGTACAAACAAATCTACTAATAAAAACAACAATTACACACATTCAAAGCTAAAGAGTAAAAGTAAGATTTGCGTCTAGACTTAAAAAGGTCCAGAGAAGGAGCAGACCTCACATGATAGGGGAGACCATTAAAGCTTGGGGCCAATCACAGAAAAAGCCCGATCACCCTTTGATTTGTACCGACACCGTGGCACAGTTATAGGAGCAAGTGACTCGAAGATCTAAGTGCATATAGCAGGACAATATGGCACAAGAAGTTCAGAGATATACCTTGGTGCACAACCAGACAATGCCTTATAAACAAACAGAAGAATTCTAAAATCAACCCTGAATTTAACGGGAAGCCAATGATAAATGTGATAAATGTGAAATATAAAGTTTAAAATAAAGTTTAACAACAAATTCAAAACCTTTATCTTTGGTGTCTTAATTATTGTCTTTCAGTGTGAAAATAATAAATCATAGCAGTGAACAGTAAATACATAAATCACAGTTTCTCCCCCAAAATATTTGAACAACATTGCAATCAATAAAACAGACAGTTTTTGATCATCAGAAACAGAAAGAACATAATTAAAATCAAAATATTTATGACTCGAGATACAAATGTTAACAAAAACATATTAAATAGACAAGTATTAAAGTATTTATTGTTGCTTTGCCATCAGCGAGCGACATTATTACAATCATGACAACCACTATATAAATGGATAATAATTACAAAAACTAAAATAAAAAAAATAACAGCACAATGGATGGATTTAATGGGGAAAAAACAACGTAAAGTCAAAACAACATGTAAATGTAAAAATATGATCCACTGAATATTATTCACTTTCAGACATAACATTTTTACTGGGAAATATCTTAATATGTTTAACATTTTATTATTGATGTCTGGCTTAATTCTGTCTTAAATCTTTGGGGTAAATACACTTCATTTATATAGCTCATTTAGTAGTATTTATAAATACATACAAAACCACATGGCATTACAATAGATGTTTTTCTATTCACTGCACATTTTAAATGTCTCATATTCACACTTTCACAGGTTTGAATAATGTGCTAAACTCATGCAATGCAATCCGTGTTACACAAAACTGCAGCAATATAGATGTTCTTACCATTCAGAGTGCTTCCTTCAGGTCAGTCTTCAGATAGTGAGTGTGAGAGGATGATGATGATGATGATGGTAAGCGGTTAGCTCTCGTCTCACCCGAGTGTCTGACCCCGATCTGAACTCACAATAGAGTCTTTATACGTAAACGTGTGTCCAGACGCTGAACGACCTTCTAGCGGTGCCCTCGTCTCTAAACCAGCTATAAATCCACCCAATTAGCAATCCAGTCTGACCAAAGGGGTTTAAAACAGATTAGCGCTGGTGTCTACAAGACTGGAGTCTGGTGCAGAGTTTTCCTAGATTATTTTACAAATAACATATTCAACATCTGATCATTTTTGGTAACCACTGCTAACTATTGCACAGGTTGCGTATAAAATTCTAGGAAAAGAAAAAAAGAGGTGTGCAAAAGTTGCTACGATGTTCTGAGTGGTTTCTAACATGTAGTCTGTCATTTTTATTTATTTATTTATTTATTCTCTTATCATGAAAATCCTAAAATACAATCGATTAGAAAAATATTAGCACACCTCACATCTACAAGCCTTATGGGTTTGTTCAGATCACTATGACCAGTAGTGTGTTATTTTAGTATCATTGAGATAGTATTGTGATTAATTTTAGTTAATGTTTTAGTAAGTTTGTTTTTGTCAATTTTAGTAAATATGTCCATATAGCTTTTATTAATTTAGTTTTAATTTTAGTTATTGTAGTACATCAAGTTAGACTAAGTTAAAACAAGAAATGTTGCCTTGGCAGCTAGTTGAAATAAATAAATAAATAACATTTTTATAGTTTCTTTTCTTTTAGGTAAAATTTATTTAAATGCAAGTAACTAAAATGTTTTTGTAAATGTGTGAATTTTGTAAAGTTGTAACTAAAACGATTAAAAAAGATTATTAGAGTACATTTTACAAGAAAATACTTCTTAGTCTTTCTACCTCAAAATTTCAGGTTGAATTCATGTGTTACTTGCCATATCTAATTTTCTCATTTTAATCTTCTAATTCAAAAATTCCTTTTGTAATTATTTGTAAAATTTACAAACCGTTTCTGAGTGAAAACTGTTTCAAAATAAATCGAACATCTTTTTTTTTATCCTATTAGATAATAACAAAAAAAGTGGTTAATTTATTTGTAACATTCTAATTGTTCAAAATTCAGTTCAAACTAAACATGCAATAAGACACAAATTAAGGCTCTTTGTGTTGTTGATTAAATGTTCCTATTTGGCATTTGTTGTATTTTTGTTAAGTTTGATTATTATTATGTGTGACACAAAATATAACAGAGGTATATGGTGTTGAACAAGTTATGCACCACATTTTAATATTGAAGGACAGAGTTTATTCAAATCTCTCTGTATAGTCAATAGTTATAGTGATGCTTCCTTAGGAAAACATCACTCATGAGTGACTACATGTGCAGGTGCATTAGTAAAAGTCAATATCAGAAGTAAATTTAGGTTTACTAGCCGTCTGAAGAGCTAAAGCGATGCCATTACGAGAAGTAGCTCATCTCAGACAGGCTTCAGTCATAAGAAAGCCTCATCAATATTTATTATGAGAAGTAGTCGCCCATTTAATAACTGTGGGAAAGAAGAGCAGTAGAACATGTGGAAGTTTGATGACAATCTTGAGCAGTTTTGACGGGTTTGCAGAACCTCGCTCAGGAATACACTTCAAGCTGATTATGTGTGTGGCACACTCAAGACGAAACCGAGCCGAGAGAGACGCCGCAGCCGCTTCGTTTTCAATCCACGTCCGCTTATCACCATGCCCTTTCACATAAAAGTTGATTCTAATGTCATGCAAAAAGTTCTTATCTAAAGTAACTAGATGTTTGCTGAGGCAATGGTTAGTGATCTGAACAAATACTTTTTCAGTCTTTCTGCTGCAAAATTTCACATTTAATTCAATGCATTACATGCTGTTATATGCTTTATTCATTTATGAAATTTACAAGCAATTTATGGGTCTTTAAATTTTTTTCAGGGTAAATCCTATACCATTTTTCTGTGTAAATATTAGATAACAGCAATTTAAAAAACTAGTTTAATGAAATTACTTAATGAAATGTTAATTGGTACTTAATGCACAAATTACTGGTTAGATTTTCAGCAAAACATGCAATAAGACACAATTCAATAATATTACTCTTTAATTTTGTTGTATTTTTGTCAAGTTTGAATATTATTATGTTTTATACCAAATAAATTAGTTATACCAAAGTATTCTACTATTGAAGAAGTTATGCACTAACTTTTATCACCCCCCCCCCCCACAAAA